GCGCTGGCGGGGGGCGACAAGTCGGACCCCAACCTCAACAACCCCGCCGACGAGGACCACGCCTACGCGCTGCGGATGCTGCCCAAGAGCGGCTGCGTGATCCAGCCCGTGCCAAAACCCGCGGAGAAGGCGGCCATGGCCCCCTGCATCATCCCCTCGCCCCTGCTCGGCGCCGGGCCGGAGGACCTGGAGCCGCCGCTCAAAAGGAGGTGCCTCCGAATTCGAAATCAGAATAAGTAAAAGGTTTGTATGCACCGGGGCACCTCCGCCTCCGCGGCCTTCTCGCGAGCTGGAGACCAGAGCTGAGAGTCACGGTTTTACCTGTCGCTGTTTACTCTGTCCCTGCTGTGGTCTCACTGTGGACATTCTGCGCCGGCGACCAGGACACTGGGCAGTGTTTAGTGGCATCGTTCCCACTTTGCAGCTGAGGAAACCGAGCTACACTGTGTAAGCGCCGTGCTCGGGGTTGCTTACGTAGGGTGGAGCTCAGGCTTGCACCTGCCAGGGAACACTAACGCCTTCATTCTACTATTGTTCTTAATGCTCATCGCTATATCTCACGCTGTTGGAGAAGAGGAGGGTGTGGAGGAGGGAGCGCTTACTTGCGACACCAAAATGGTCAGTCATGAGTTTGCAGGGCAGCGGGGAAAGGTACAGTGAATCCATGAGCTGGGCCACCTCCTAGAGCTGGTAGACTCATTGGCAGAAGGTCTCCACTCACCAAATCTTGATAACTGTGGGATTCCGTTTGTAAAATGAGAATAAAAACCTCACCTGTGTAGGCCAGCCGCGCCCAGGCCACGAGGCCCCATTTTCCTGGCAGGGTGTTGGAGCAATGGCTCATGGCTCCTGTTCTGGGGTCTCTTCCTGCATTGGGGCACCAAACAGCTTTCCCCAGTGTGGTCCTCAAGCATCACTGGCCGGCTTTGCTTTCTCTGTCTTTTGGGGCTCAGCAACTTGGCTGGTGGGTGGCTCATCTCATAGACAGTGGGAGGCTTTGACTGGGAGAAGAGCAGCATTGCTGCCATGAGTGTCGGTGCACGTCTCTAACCTCTAGGGGGAATCCTGCTTCATGTCAGGGGAGCCACTGAGGGTGAATGAAACACTTCATAGACGGGACGGGGAACAGGCATGTGTGCCGGCTCTAGCCAGATGTGGCCTCGTTCGCCCCTCGTGCCACTCTTGGTGGGCAGGGGTTTGTCTGTATCTTACCAAGGAAGCAGATGAGATTTGGAGACCATGTCGAATCAGAGCTGGTAAGTGTGGGACCCAGGATTCAACTCGGGCCTATTGGACCCAGAACTCCCCTCCTCTGCCTGAGTGGGCGGCATACAGGCCAACATTCAGTGGGGTTTATCTGTCGTTTATGGAGAGTATGAGAAGAGAGATGAGCACTACTCTGTGCATGGCTCTTTCTAGAGCCGGGGAGGCGCAGAGGGAGATATGATGCCGTGGCCCTGTCTGGGAGGGGGACGCAAAGGCAGGCAGGGACTGGAGAGGTGGGATGAATAATTGCCCACACCTGTATGCACAGCTCCCTTCCAAGTGTTTTTCCGTAGTTTTCATTTGCAGCTGGATCCCTAGGACAATGTTTGTCTTCGTTTTATTGATGAGGAAACCAAGACAGAAATGAAATCACTTGCCCAAGATGACCAAATGAGTCAGCAGAGTTGAGATGCAAATCCAGGTGGTGGGCTCCAGGGCTACATTTTCTTTAAACCACTATAGAAGAACAGGTGAATTAGATTGTTCATTACCTTACTTACTAAAATTCACTTATCCAATTCAGTTGTCTTAGGGGAAAATCCCTAAAGAAAAACAAAACCAACAAAACAGAGCCTACCCGCCATCTTTGTCTTCAGATAGTGTTTCGCAGCAAACCTGTTACTAACCCCACACACCACACAGTGTGGTGTGTTCAGCCCTTTGTGTCTAGGTTGGCCTTTTTGACACGGGCCCTGAACTTTGCCAGGAAGTTCACCTGGGAAGCACTAAACCAGAGCAGGGAGACTTGGGTGGTGCAGGAATATTTTGAGGCTTCCTCTTCCAACTGATGGCTTTACCGGTGGGAGCAGAATCCTAACCATGTTCACCATTCCTCTTGATTTTACATCTACAATTTCTGCTGTCTGAAGACAGATGGTCTCAGCCTTCTCTCAGTCACCTCGATTGAAAATGCCCCTGATTCCTTCACGAGAGTAATTTAATATGGTTGACAAAGCTGTGAGTAATGGGAAGGTGTGTGACAAAAAAGTGACGGCCTTCAGAAAGTCAGCAAGCATTGGGAATTGTCATTTTAAAAACATTCTTATATCACTCATTCAGGTGGCATTGAAGGAAGAACAGGAGGGTGAAAGATTTTACTACCAGCACTGGAGTGAGAAGTGACCAGGTCAAGAACAGGGGCACTAGCCTATAAGTAGCATGGGACTGAGAGAATATAAAAACATAAAATAGATGATGGCGATTTAGACAATACATGTTTCTGAACAAAGAATCAGGCTAGGGTCTTGTATGTGGACCAGATTCCTGACTAAAAATATTAACTTGGCCTCAGCCAATTTCAGAAGATGCAGTGATGAAATTGCCCAATACCTCTTCAGATGGGAGAGTTCTTTTTTATGATGGGTCCCCCAAGAAATTACAGCTTTTCTCTCAAGTCAGAAATACTCAGGCTTTGTGAGCTACAGAGGGGTGACAAGGCAAGTGATTTAAGAAGGGGGAAGGGCTACCTCTTTTCCACTAAATCACGTTCCCTCTTGCCCTCGGTAGTTCCGTGTCACCTCACAGCAGTCTCAACCTGCCATAATTTACTCAGATTCTCGAGCTCTTCCTGATTTTCTGTGCATGTGTGGTGCTGTTTTTCCTCTATGCCTCCAGAAACCCAGACCATTCATACGGTTGGGGAACTGGAAATGCGCCCGTTGAATGAAGGACCGCATGGCTTTTGTGCCCTGATGGTGAATTCGTGGTGACCAAAGTGGAAAGCAACCCCCAAAGCGTAGCCAGGCTGGGTGTGTGGGTGGTGCACAGGTAAGTGATTTCTCCAAGTGCTTGGTGGTGATTCATTATTATTGTTTCTCATAGGAGAGTCTGTCAGTAACTCCAGTCAGCTTTCTACATTCTTCTCACCATGTTTGCTTTTCTCATACTGTGTTATTATTCTTAAAAAGCATTTAAAACAGATCCAAAGCAGACTAAAGTTATCTTGAAATCAGCAACCCAGGCAGCTACAACTGTCTTCAAGGAAGTCATCAAATTGACTAGTTCTTTATATATTGCAGCTTTCTCCTCATTTTGAAGTCATTCTGTTCCTTGTTACCTAACTTTATGCATTCTTATTTGCTGATATGATTACAAATTGTTTCAGTGGGCAGATTTTCCCCCAGATACAGCACTTACTAAGTTTAGTTAAAATTTTTAAAAGGTTGTAAACTCCCTTTTATCTTTCACTTTTAAGACTCCAAATACCAGTTCTGCAGCTTCTGTTAGCTGGAAAAAAAAAATCCCCCCAAATAATAAAGAAAACTGTGTGTAAACATTTTCTGAACTATTCCATCTACAAAGAATTCCATTAATAAATGGAATATCCCTTTCTTTGTCTTTGCCTGGGAGCTTGGGGGATAGCTGTTTGTATTTGTACATTTTCTGAATTTCTACAGTTTACACTTGTTTATGGTACATTGGGGAGTTCAGAGTAACCATTTGCAAATATTTGCAGATATTCAAAAGAAAATATTCCCCCTCCTCAATTTTCCAGGGAAATGACATATTCTTTTAAAGTAAGATAATCAATGGAAGAAATGCGTACCCAGAGTAACCCTCTCCCCCTAATTTTTTCCATTCCTGAGGAGCAACAGGTTTCTACCTTTGTGGCTCCCAAATTTCTTTTATGTTTCTAAAACTACAAAGAATGTGAGACTCCTTTTCCTGGTCCCAATTCCATGTTGCCCTCCACACTCAGCAGGGAGGTTCGGCTTCTTATTTCCTTGGGGAAAGCTGGATGAGGTGCCTGCTGTCTTGACTTCTTGGAGTCTGGTCACGGAGCCACAATCGCAGAAGCAATGGCTTTGAGGCAAGGAGGTCACCTCATTGAGGAAGCCACGAGGGTGGAGGTGACAAGTCACTTTGACCTGTTTAGTGTCTCTGCCTAGAAGTTCAGAGAAGAGACTGGCAGGGAGGAGGTTGGAAAGTCAGTTCATACATTCAAATCAGTACTAAGAGTGCCTACTTTTAAAACAAGAAGAACGGAGAAAGACAAGAGGAAATCAGTACAGTGGATGTGCTTGGATCCTGTGTCAGACTTGAACTGTCATAATGGTCCAGTCCTTGATTATTGGAAACAGCCCTAAGTGACAAGTTAGCCTTCTGTTAGGTTGCAATTGGTGCATACAGTTCTAGGTAGAGGTATTTCAAGGTGCCAAGCAGAAGCTACCAGGTCTGTGTCACGTACACACCTGAGGGGGAAGACCTGGGAGAGTGCTCCCCATGGTTGTTTCAGACTTGTAGAGGAAGTTTTCTGGAATGAATGGTGTCCAGATTGGCCGTGGTCATGTCCCATTCAATGCTGCCGGGTCCCTGACAAGAGGCTTTAGAGGGAGGTTTTTAACATGTAAGCATCTGACTTCTGGATATGTCAATCAGATTTTGATGGAATGGCTGAGCATTCATCACTTTCAGATGTGCTCATAATTTTCCATCTTCAGCAGGACTGGGTTAGAGTGAGGTGAGAGAGGTGCTGAGTGCACAGACTGTCACGGGGGATTCACTCAGGGTCCTGCCAGCACAGCACTGGTGCCAGCTCTGCCTCCACCTTCTGATGTATGTGGCAGCTCCCTAAAGCTGGTCTCTTGGCCCCCTGGACTTGACCATAACTTGCCTTCAGCTTCTTCCCCTGACATTTCATAGGAAGTTTTATGTGCCTATCACAGTGGTGTTTTCATGGGAAGATAAGTCCACAGATTCTTCAGAAAAAGTATGCTGCACATCTCTGAAGGATTATCTCACATTATTCCTGAGAGCTGTCTGAGTTGATGTTGTTCTTGTTACTTTGAGGAAGCTGAATTCATTGTAAGTCTCCCTTAAAATGTGGAATTTATCATTTGGGAATGTTTACTGTGGACCTCGTGTTGCAGAATCACAGTCACAGCTACATACCAGAGCACTTGCCTCAAATGAGATTACCTTAGCAACATCACGCAGAAGGTTGTAGGCTTTTCTTCAAGTTGTCATATTTGCAAGTG